CACACACACACACACACACACACACACACACACTCAAAGGTTTCAGGTTCAGCATTGAGTGAGAAGGTGATGTGTTAGGAATCCACAGAGGACATTCTGTTTCTGAGGGCAGAACACATGGCACAGTTTGAATAACTTTCTGAACATTTTTCTAGTTGTGCTTGACTTCTTCCAAAATGTCAAGGGACTCTCTGGTAACGGGCTCGTTTGTGATAGCAGACTATGTGGTCTTTGCCCTCATGCTGCTGCTGTCGGCTGCTGTCGGGGTCTACTATGCCTGGGCGGACAGGGGCCAGAGAACCTCCGGGGACTTCCTAATGGGGGGCCGCAGACTGACGGCCGTGCCTGTGTCCCTGTCCCTGACTGCCAGCTTCATGTCAGCCATCACGGTGCTGTCAAATCCAGCTGAGGTAAGGTTACAGCAGATTCCCAAGGGATAAATGGAAACTCTGTCTCTCCTGAAAAGTCATTTTGTGTCTGCTTGAGGAGGACACATTTATTTGATGTGAGAAAACTTTTTAGTGCGGTGAGATACATCACTGTCCCACTGTGGTGTCCAAGTTAATCAAAGACATGATGGTAGTGACAATGAGACATAAATATAAACTTATGAGCTATTCACTGTACCTGTGTGTTTGTAGAAGGGCTCGTATGTACATGTCTAAAACATTACAGAAAACATTGTAAATTGTGTAAATGAAACAAAATCCCAAAGCTATATTATAATATTCTTTCTTCTGTTGCTTTTAACTTAATGACAACAATGAGCTGTCAGCGTCAGCCTGATGTCAGACAATAAATCTTTATATAAAATCTCCCAGGACATGCTCACTGAACACAAACAATGGGGTTTTCATTCCCCCCAGTATTTACTTAATGTGTTTGCTTGAATCTCAACAGTTAAAATAAGACATTTTCTTACAATTGTTTTACACCCTGACACTCGCAATAAATTTCAGTCTTCTTTTGATCACTCCCAAAAACCGTCGAAAACATTGTTAATTGATATTACCCCATGTCCTTAGGTGTACCGCTATGGAGCCAGCATTGGATTTTATGGTCTCTCCTATGTTATGACCATGGCAGTCACATCTGAGGTCTTTCTTCCTGTCTTCTACAGGCTCTCTGTCACTAGCACATATGAGGTGAGTGAGCTTTGGTTTATCATATGAGGGTCAGTGTGCTAGGTTATTTTTAGAGCCTCTATATTGTTTTATTGTATGTTATTATTGAGGTTTATAAAGGTAATGTGTCACTGGGCAAGTAAAAGCTTGTAAGAGTTGTTAAAAATGACATTGAAACACCTGAAAGCACATCCTTGTTTTTTTCTTGAAGTAGATATGGCCATGCTTGAGGAATGCTGAAACTGAGTGTGTGTGAGTGGGTGTGCATGTGTGTTTGTGTTTTTAGTGAAGTAATGCCAGAGGTAAGTTTCACAGTTTGCAGCTAGAGACTAGGTTTAGTAACTCTTCATTTTTCACGTGCCAAAACAACTTGTTCAGAACATATTGTCCTGACTCACACGGACCACAGCTCTAAAACTAATCTTTTTATTCTGCCTGTTCTTTTCTGTATGCGTCATGTCTCTGCCAAGTATCTGGAGCTACGTTTCAACAGAGCAACCCGTCTGCTGGGAACTGGGCTCTTCATTGTGCAGACGGTGAGTGAGAAGCCAGTCAACACATAATTACAGGCCTCTGACCTTCAGTGAGTCAAACCACAAATGTGCTACATGAGGTTCATTTGTGTTGGAATTATGTTTCTTACTTTGTCACAGCTTCTCTACACTGGAATCGTCATTTATGCTCCAGCACTGGCGCTGAATCACGGTATGTTTGTTTCAGTCCACACTGGTCAGGTGAACATCACAAACCGACATGAGGGCACTTAGAGCTGCTTGGCTTTGTTCAGTCGAGTGGTCACTGTCTGAAAGGCTCCTTCTGCGCTGTAAACTCTCTCAGCTTTAACTTCATGTAAAAGCTTATATACTATATATATACTTATATCTTTCTGTGCAATTCAATGTCTAATGTGCTTTATATTTACATTCTTATTTTATCTTATCTCTCTGCAGTAACTGGGATGAATCTGTGGGGCGCTGTCATCTCCACAGGGGTGGTGTGCACCTTTTACTGCACGATGGTATGTAACACCACCTGCTCAACTGAGTTTTCCACTCTGCCCATAAAGAAAACGGAATTAACTAAGTTTTTGTATGGCAAGTATTGACGTCCATGTGTGTTATCTCCAGATATTTTATTCTTTGAGTTTCTGAATTGTTTGAATCAATTTTAAAGTACAGTCGACACAACACCGTTTTGTGCTTCATGTTGTTACAGGGGGGTCTGAAGGCGGTGGTGTGGACTGATGTCTTTCAGGTAGGCCCCCTGATGAAAATAATAAGATTACTAGTGGTTGGCGTGGTAAGACCGGTCCTACATATTCAGATAAGTTTCATATAAAGACAATACTGTAAACAAGGGACACCCCAGTACATATTTGCCATTTTTATTCTATGTTTTTGGATGAATGCATCACACTTAATACACCATGTATAGTAACATTAGAATCACAAATGGGACAAAATGTAAATGTTCCCCTTCAGCTTGGCGTCATGCTCGCAGGCTTCCTGGCTGTTGTCATCAGGTCTGTGATTTTACAAGGAGGAGTCTTGAACATCATATCAGATTCAGAACACGGAGGGAGACTCAATGTTTGGGAGTGAGTACAATCAATCCAAATATTAACTTTGTCACGAGACTGTCCCATTTTAAATGTCTCTCCAGATGCATCCATAGAAACATAACCTTATTAAAAAGCATTGTCTAACATAAAGGGAGAGGTGTATCAATTTTAAAACCCATAAGGAAATATAAACTATAAAAAATGAGTTATAGTATTTGCTACTAAGTTGTCCTGGCACAGAACTTGAGCGTTATGTTAAAATGACACAGCACAACCCATTGGTCCTTGAACCTACCACTTCATCCATGGACAATATCCTGGTCATGTAAGGCCAGGCTGTTTTACTAGGTTATTTGAAGGCATATATTTCTTTGGATGGTATCCATCTGAGGTTCCAACTTCTAGGGAATTGAATAGGTTTTGGCAAACAACTAACATGTAACTTCAAATTTTCACTTAAATTCAAATTTCCCTCTTTCTCTATGCCACCAGCTTTGACACAAACCCTCTGAGAAGACACACTTTTTGGACCATAACGATTGGCGGGACGTTTGTGTGGGTCAGTATCTATGGGATCAACCAGGCCCAGGTTCAGAGATACATCTCCTGTAAGAGCATCACTCATGCCAGAGTGTGAGTATTGTTGTTTTGGTTATATTGTGATAGGGTACATATATTACCTGTACCTATAAATGAAAATACCCCTGTAACGTTCTAACGTTAGCTGGGGAATTAACAGAAAACTATTTCCCTCTGTTTTTGTTCAAGTGTTTCACTATATGCATTTTTTTCTCCTATCCAGATCTCTGTACATCAACCTGTTAGGCCTGTGGTCCATCTTGCTCTGCTCAGTTTTTGCAGGGATGTGCCTCTACTCCGTCTATAAGAG